AGCCAGCATAGCTGGCTGGAGAATTCTGGGAGTTGAAGTCCACAAGTCTTAAAGTTGCCAAGGTTGGAGACCTCTGGTGTAGAGTATTCAAACAGTCCCTGTTTCCATTTCTCATCTGATCTCTTATTTAAAAAGTCTCTGGGTTTAAAAAAAAACTCACCAAAAAGAAAGTATTTTCTCTCTCTCATGCTTCCTGTCAAGATGTCACAGGCACAGATACACAATATTTCATAAGAAATCTAGCTTTCATTTCAAAGATAGGTCTGTTCTACATCCCAGAACAGTTATATTCTGAGCACCTTCATACATTTTATTGGGAATTTCTGGTCCTTCTTTACTCAATATTATTTGAGCACTTTGCATATGTTCTGGAGCACATCCTCCAACAAGTGCTCCTGTTGAATTCAGTTGGCCAACTGTGATGCCCTGCTGCTTTAGAGGTACATATGGATGGATGTGGTAATGCAAGGCTGATTTATGGGAATTAGGCTGATAGATTGGAGCAGCATTTCTCAGCCTCAGGAACTTTAAGATGGGTGGACTTCAACCCTCAGAATTCCATACTCAGCAGGCAGCTGGGGAACTCTGGAAGCTGAAGTCCACCTATTTTAAAAGTTGCCGAGTTGAGAAATGCTGAACTGGAGAGATGACCTTCAATGAAGAACTCAACAGTCTTCTTGAAATATCATCAGGAGAGCTTGCCTAGCTTCTAAACTTAAAACAAGTTACACCGCAGAAGTATGGTTGCAGTGGTTTTGTGGCTGGGATTCTGTGGTATTCAAATCAGCAAAGAGCACAGGAAACAGATTCAGGATGTATTCTTGAAAACCCAGGACTTGATTGGACTCCACACTGGAACTGCTAACTAAACTTCCCATTTACTTACTAATATTACACAATACACTGAAGCATAAATCTAGTATGGCTTAAGTTTACAAAGGCACAATTCTATTCAAGTTTAAAACCAGGTTTAGAATGTCACAGGTATGAGGCAATTACATTGTCATGTGAATATAGCCACAGAAGGGTTGCATTGAAGTATCTACAGCAGAACTACTAGATTCTGTAACAGCCTTGTCCTTATGTCATTCGTCTTGTAAACTCGCAGGATTTTTTTTTTGCCACCTATGTTATACGTTTGAATTAGACTGTGATGTTTCTGTGTCATATATGCGTGTGTATGTGGTTGTATATGTGCATAATGATTATCTTTTGAGAGTTGAATGCAACCAAAATTCATTTTAATATATGCTGATTAGTATACATTTAAAGTGACAATAAAGTTCTATATTTTACATTCTCTATTTTTGATTTCATTCCATTCCATTTATTCTCTATTTTCTATTCTACTCTACTCTACTCTACTCTACTCTACTCTACTCTATCGGGGGTGTAAAACTGGCGGGCCAGATGTGTCATGCGCAAGCCACGCCCAGCCCAGCTCTGCAAAGGCAAAAAAAGGTGGCGGTATGTCACATGATGCAATCGAGTTTGACACCCGTGCTTTAGATGATCCTCCAGTTAATGATGATCATAATGAGCAATCTCCCTTATGGTCACATGTTGAGGACTACCTGCATGTCATCATCACTGACTCATATTTATGACGGTTGCAGTGTCCCAGGATCATGTGATTCCCTTTTGCGACCTTCTGACAAGGAAAGTCAGTGGGGAAGCCTGATTCACTTAACAACCAAGTTACTAATTTAACAACTGCATGGATTCACTTAACAAATATGGCAAGAGAAGTCATAAAATAGGTCAAAACCCACTTAACAAATTTCTCACTTAGCAACATAAATTTTGGGCTCAGTTGTGGTCATAAGATGAGGACTCCATGTATTCCTATTGTGTAGTGGGCTTCAGCAGGCCAGCATAGTTACAACAGCAATTTATTGACTCAAACTGGGACTGAGGAACAGTAGGCAAAAGCCTGTAATTTTATACTCTGGGCCCACAGGGCCTTAACCAATCATAAGACTTGAAAACTCTGCCCAAATATAAATGTTCTAAGTTTTCCTCCAAAACAGTTGGAGTTAACAGTTAGGGTCATCTAAAACAGTGGTCGCCAACAAGAAAATTTTGGTGGGCCACAGAGAAATTGCACCCCCCAGAGCATCCCCAAAGCAATTAATCCAGGCTGTGCAGGAATACAAGGCTGTACCGCCCACATGGCTCACAGGAACCCTCCCTGCCCACTCACTCCTTACCCGGCAAACTTGCCTACTAAATTGCTATTTTCCTTTTTTTTTCCCCAACCATAAGCTGTTCTGCTGTGCTAGGAGATTTAAATTAGCCAGGAAGCATGAAATGATTGGATTTTTTGCTTTCTAGCTAGTCTTTAGATTTTCAGCTCTGCTTTTAAGCACAACCGAACCTCCCTTAGGTTCTATTATTCAGTGCAGACTCAGGGCAAGCAAATTTTATGTGACAGACTCAGGTAGCCGATGGCAGATGGATAGATCAATGAATGATTCTGTGAGCAACTCAATCTGCCTGCCTGCTTTGCCTGATTTTGGGTAAAAGTTGCTCTTTTTTAATATAAAAAAATTCAGTATTTGTATAAATATTTATAATATTTGCATAAAAGCCATGCCCAGCCAGTCACATGACCACCAAGTCACACCCACAAATTAGGCCATGCCCACAGAACCAGTTAGGGGTCCCTGGGATTTAAAATTATGAGTTTGGTGGTCCCTGAGGTCCAAAAGGTTGGCGACCCCTGATCTAAAAGTTAGTTTCACTTTAGCAAAGCTTAACACCCTTATATGCTCAATACATAACAATTCCCACTTATAGGAACTCAGGGAAACCTATATAGCCGTGATGTCAAACCTATGTCAAGTGTGCCACAGGTGGCACACGGAGCTATTTGTGCGGGCACGTGAGCCCCAGCCAAACTTACCTGCACTGTGCATGCACATGTCTCCCAATTGATTTTTGGCCCATTTGAGGCCTTTTTCGGCCTCCCTGAGGCTTGAGGGAAGCCTCTGTAGCCTTTGGAGGCTGAAAAACAGGCCGAAAATCAGCCGGGAGGCATGCACATGAGCAGTGCAGGTAAAGGGATGTGGGGGGTTGCACACGCATGTGCAGGGGGGGTGGGGCACATTGCCTTATGGGTGCTGGCACATAAACGTGCGCATGCATGCAATTTTCAGCAGGGGAGCCCAAAAAGGTTAACCACCACTGCTATATAGCCTTCCGTCCTCCAGTTTTACCACAATAGTCCTGTGTCATAGGTTAGGCTGAGAACGATTGGCCTCAAATTCCCCAGGGAGTTTCTATGGCTGAGAGTAAACCCGAACCTTAGATAATGGCCCCCAATGTACTTTTGGTGCTCACTAGGAATGTGCTTCAAGATGGATTAGCTGGTTTTTTGTATTGATTTGAGAGTCAAGGTCTGTGTTTGAGTCACGAGAGGCTTCAAAAAAAATAAAATCACCTTACTATCACTCCTTTCCTTAAATTGTGTCTTTGCAGAAAGCCGGGCAGAACATGGGAAATGTTTTGTGAGCATCCTCTCGAGCCATGGAGAAGACGGCTGCATAATGGATTGCCAAGGACAAGCATTAAAGCTAACGCGCATTTATAAGATCTTATCTTCTGAAAGGTGTCCGCATTTGGCGGGAAAGCCTAAAATCTTCTTCATACAGGTAGGAGCTGTGGGGTTCTGGGTCCAAACAGCAGCAGTGAAGTATGGGAAATTCAGTCTTTTTTATCCTATAGGACCGGGGTCTCCAATCTTGGCAAAACACAGCCTTGCAATAATTTCAAGACCACTGTTAAATCTTACAACATAATCTTTCTTTGCACATGTCTCGTTTGCACGTATTTGAGATTAATAGGGAAATAATCTCAATGAAATTAATAGATACTAGAAAACTTTGACTTCATAACCCTAGGCTGTTATTTTTAGAGTCCAAAGGCAGAATTTCCAAATTATGCAACCAAAAGCTGGCAACCTTTTCTACATGCACACGAGTTCTGGGTTTGCGAACAGGGTTTGCCCTCCGCAATATGTACAATAGCAGTAGAAACCCTCTTAAAAAAACAAATGACTCATTCAGGAAATGTTTTTGATGCCATGTCTAGCATATGTGCATGACTCTGATGTTAAAAAATAAAGCAAAGGTATTTCTAATTCTCCTGCAGCATCACAAAAACTAATGTTCTACATTAGCTTTATTCAGGGGTGGGATTCAAATTTTTAACAGCTGGTTCTGTGGGCGTGGCTTAGGTGGTAGGCATGGCTTGGTGGTCATATGACTGAGTGGACATGGCTTGGTGGTCATGTTATTGGCTGGGTGTGACCAACTCAATATCACTCACATCGAGGCACGCATCTCCTTGCCTGGCCTCTTGTGACTGTGGGGATGCTGCAACAGACGTAAGTGTGAAAAATGGTCATAAGTCACTTTTTTCAGTGCCATTGTAACTTTGAATGGTCACACCACACAAGCAAAGTACCAGCAAAGGAGGGGAAAAAAACTCCAGAGAAGTTCCTGAGACAGGAAGTCTAGTCCTGCCAAGAATGTAATAAGGGTTAATGGAGAGGCAGTTTCTGTAACCAACGCCAGAATGTTTCCTTCCTGCCTTCCTTACAGGATTAGGCCAGTAATTTCTTCTAACAACTGGTTCGCCGAACTGCTTAGAATGTTAACAACCGGTTCTAGAGAATAGGTGCAAACCTGTGAATCCCACCCCTGGCTTTATTGCATTTCCTGGATACTTTTACAGCAGATGTGAAGTTCAGACTGATTATAGTGACATTTCTTCCAAAGGCAAATACGAGCTGTGCGAATCTATGCAAGAGAATAAAGGATGAAATCCATTTTTGTTGCCTGGGCAAGCCCCTAATTCCCCAATCCACTGCTAATGCTATTTAGTTAATGGTATTTCATTCATTCATTTTTAAAACAGCATGCAAGTTTAATGCAAATCGTTAACCTCATTCCTTCAGTTTAGCCCATTCAGATGAAAATGTCAAAGGAGTCACCTCACTCATGGTCTAGAATAGAATAAATCACAAGAAAATCTGAAGTTGACTCCCCAGGGTGTGGATCCAGCAAACAAAGGGCTGTACACAAAGGCTATTTAACAGCTGTTGCCTTCCATATGTTTTTCAGGCGTGCCGTGGAAACAGATTTGATGATGGCATCTACCTAGAAACAGATAGTGCACCTGAGGAAGACTGTTTCTCACATTACCTATCTATTCCTGAAAATACTGCTGTCATGTTTTCTTGCAGCCCAGGTATGTCAGTCTAACCACCTAAACCTAGTCTAGGTCAGGTTTGCAGCAAAGGTCATCAGATACCACAAAATAAATGCACAGGATTGGGTAGAATTACCCATTTGGGAGTTTGAAGAATTTAAAAAAAAAACACCCAGCCAGAGAACAGCTGGTTTGTTTGTGAGTCTTAATAAGGGCACTCAGCCAAGACAAACAAAATTACAGATGGATGCCAGTCCATCACAACTTATAATCTAAGGTAACCATGGGGTCTTATCATTCAATGCTACAATCAGGGAGGACAGAAATCAGCAAAAATGCATGCAATTGCTTGAAAAGATACCTACGAAGAAACAGCAACAATCTTTCTGGACAGTGAAAATCTGGAATTTCAGAAACAACTCGTTCCTTTCCAGATTTTTCTCATCATTCCCTGTGTAGGGCTGATCTTGTTGTCATGATTAAAGGACAAAGGAAGAATCAACTAGGATGATATGCTAAGAACACTTACCAGTTGTTCTTTACAGAGAACAGCTGCATCTTTGCAAGCTGCCAATCTGTTCTTCGATTTTCAGGTTTCTGGAGAATCATTGCAATCCTTCCATTGCAAATAGAACAACACGTATGAGTTAGAACAGTTTTATGGTTTCACCCAGCCATCATTAAAGAGATGTCCATGCCATTATTACTTTGGCTTAACAATGATTTGATGGCTTTTTCAGTCATGAGCAAAACGTACATGATATAAATGCAACAGGACTCTAATTCTGGCCACAGAAAGTCCCTATTTTCACCGCAATTAGTTTCCGATGTAATGTACACTTTGTCCTTTCCTGGCTCTTGCGATATGGCATATACTGGCAAGAGATGTGTCTCCAGATTTTACTAGCCTTCTCTAACATGTTTGCTTAGAGTAGAAAAGTCCTGTTTGACTTTTGGCATCTCCTTATCTCTCTTTTTCTTTCTCTCTCAATTGCTCAGGCTATGTTTCGTTCAGCAATCAGTGGGAATCTATGTTTCTCAAAGCATTACTGGAAGTGCTAGAAGGAGAGGAAAGAAAACTGAAAGTCACCAAACTCATGACTTGGATTAACTGGAAGGTTGCTTTCTTTTGTGAAGCAAAAGGAACTGGGTATAAGGGCAACAAGGAGATGCCCTGTTTTGTCACAAACATGGTGGAGAAGGTTTACCCTTTCAAACAAGACAGAGAATGCTCGGATTACCCAGATCACTCCAACCCTACAAATACAATTCAGTCGTCGGTTCATGATGCCGTTTGATTTTTCACTTGCTGCATTTTGATCCAGACAATTATAATTTATTTAACCAGTCAGTTACAGCAGGGGTCCCCAACCACCGGTCCGCGGACCGGTACCGGTCCGTGGAACAAGTCCTACCGGGCCGCTGGGCGCCGCCATCTTGTTTTGATGAAAAAGTGCTTCCGGTGAGCTTT